CATTTTTAAAATAAGTTCTTGACTTCCAAATTTTTCCTCTTCCTTCACTACTTCCTCTCCCCCTTCCCAGGATGTCAAGCAATCTGATGTAGGTTATGCAATCACGTTAAACATATTATGGAAATTACTTTAGAACAACATTTCATACCATGTACCACAATAAGTCCCTAAAGGACACGTAACCTAAATATTAAAAGCAATATTATAAAAAATAAGTTGTGGAATATGGAAGGAGATATATTTTACAACTACAGTTGGAAGAAGAATTAACTCACCAAGGGACAGATGTGATTACAGAAGATTAAATGGGCCCTGAAGTCAGGAGGACCTGAGTTCAAATCTGGCCTCAGACCAAACACTTGACACTTACTAGCTGTGTGACCCTGGGCAAGTCACTTAACCCCAATTACCTAAAATAATAATAATAATAATAAAAGAAGATCAAATGGACAATTTTGATCATATAAATTAGAAAATTTTTTCTTGAACAAAAACAATGTATCTAGAATTAGAAGAGAATTTATTAATTGGAACAAAATCTTTGCAGCAAATATCTCTGGTAAAGACTTGATATCTAAGATATAGACAGAATTGCTACCAATATACAGGGTACACAAAGATCTTAGAGCAGTTTTAAGCTACTAACTGCTCTAAGTCTTTTGGGATATCTTGTCTAAGAATGAGAGCCATTCCCCAATGGATAAGGAGTCAAATTATATGAACAAGCATTTCTCAGAAGAAGAAATGTAGACAATCAATAACCATTTGAAAGAATGCTCTAAATTCGCTAATAAGATAAATGCAAATATTTTAACTCTGAGCTATTACTATCTATCAGACTGGAAAAGATGACATAAGCTAAAAACAGCAAATGTGGGAGAGGCTCAACACACTAACACACTATTAGTAGAGTTGTGAATTAATCCAAATATTTAAAAAAAATAATTTGGAGGCATATCCGAAGGGATACTAAACTATCCAAACTCTTTGACCTGGCGATACTATGAGTAGGCATCTACTCTAAAGAGTAGAAAGATAGCGGGAAGGGAGTCAACGGTGCAAAGATATTTATAGCCGCAAAAAATGAGAAATAAAGTCGGTGCCCATTAATTGGAGAGTGGCTGAACACACTGAGGTATCTGAATGTAATCCAAGTGGCGAATGTGAATAATTCAGTGAAACCTGGGGAAGACTACAAGAAATTGTACAGAGCAAAACAAATAAAACCAGGAGTACAATTTACACGAAAACTAAAATAATGGAAAGGGGAACAACTTTGAAAAAAACATCAAAACTTTAATCAATGCAGTGACCAACTGCAAAGTCAGAGGACCTCCTCCCAACTCTTGGCAGAGAGGTGATAAGACACGGGACACAGCCAAGTTACGGATTTGTTTTTCTTAAATATGTTTATTTGTTACAAGGGAAGCCTCTACTGAGATGATGGAAAAGGAGTGTGAATGGGAAGAGCCAGGTATAAAAAAAAAGTACTAAAATATCAAAATATTAAAAATGTACATACTGAAACAAAGAAGTTTGAAGAGGATGCCAGAACTAGGTGATTCCATTACTTGCTCAGTTCTGCCAAATTTAACAAACTTTTAAAAAAAACAACTGTGTAACACAAAGTTTTTTATACAAACTTTTTTTTGTTCTTATGTTTGAATGTTCATGTTGGCTGATGGCCAAATGAATTATCCTCTGGCCTAGATTTTGGCCCTGCCCTCAGCCAGTGACCCTACAGTCAACCCGTTAGAGAGGGGAGCTCTCAAACTGTACTCATAGTTCTGGAGCATCATAATTTTATGCCTGGGGTCAGCATGGATCATTTCCAGGTGTGCTTGGGTTCCAATGGGGACACTGTACCATTTTTCTTATGTCGAAATTGACAGTGGAAGTGTAGCAAGGTATGATAGTGGGGGCAAGCTGAGCCCTTTGGGAATGGCCCCACCTGGAATTTAATACATACATATTAGCTTCTTCCCACCTTGAAAAGTCCTGATTCTTCTTCTGACATAGAGTTCAATATAATTCTTCACTGCCTGAACTTTACAGTTGAGGAATATATCTGGAGGGGAGGGGGGTGCCCTTAGAGCTGCCTCTCCAGATAGTTGCTGAACATCTGAGTTATCTTCATTGAGTTTCCCCTCTGTCACTGTATCTTAGAGACCCTCTTGACAGGGTCTTACAAACTCCTGGGAAGCCCCAGTCTTGGCCTCCTGCCTTCCCCCCTCCTGAGAGGATGCTGTATTAATCTATTTCAGCTGGAATGTTCTGATCTAGGCCTCCTCCAGTGTCTGAGGGAGAGGACCCTTATCTGCATTTTATTATTTTGGGATAGTTTCTCCTGTTCATCTCCTTGAAAAACATCATCTTTAAACATTCCAGCTTGGCTTTCTCTTTTTTTTTTTTTCAGCCAAAGACAAGGTTTATTAGAACATTCGTCATATTGGGCACACTCTTAAGGAGTCTGAACTATTAGTGAATTAGTGAGCTAGTGGCTGGATTATAAGACTCTGAGCAGTGGCTAGATTTTAAGAATCTGAGCACCTTCATGGAGACAAGATGGACCTAATATACAGAAAGACCATGGGAGGGATCTAGGAGTGGCCAACTGGTCTTCGGAGACTGTGAGGTGATACAAGGCCAGGGACCTAAACCCCATGGCCAAGGGAGAATGAAGCCTAGCTAGGATTAAGGGTGGGAAGTGGCTAGGGGCCATAGGGAGGTAAGACAATGGAGGGCTAGGCTAGGTTAAGGGTAACAGAATTGGCTTTCTCTTATTCCCTCTTTTATAGATGATGCAGTCTGGGTCTTTTCCCTAGGAGATGGCCTAGCGCTAGCTATTGAATGAGTCAGAGACGGCCCACTGTTGTCCCCTGAGCTTTCCTCAGGTTCCCTGGGTTTGCTTCTCCAAATATTCTTCGGCTGGTCCTGCCAGTATACTCACTGAAGCCTGCTTGGTCCTGACAGGGCTTGCAAAGCAGTCTGAATTAGTGCCACCAGGCCTTCCCCTGGCATCGAGGGAGACTATATAGCCTCTAGATGATGCCACATCAGGGAAGTGATAGAAGGGATTCGTGTCTCAGGTAGGCCTTGGTTGGACTAGATTATCCCTTGGGCCCTCAGGTGGTGCGTCTGTCTTGAGAGGGAGCCTGTGTCATTTTGGACAGTTCTGATGATTACTTAGCAAACTCTCCCTTAGGCTGAGCTGAGATTTGTTTCCCTTTAAATTTCACCCACTGGTTCTCGTTCTGTCCTCTAATGCTTTTATTCTCAAACTTGGTGCTAGGGTTAAACTTTTCACTTTAAATACAATTTTGACAAAATCATCATAATATATTTTTAATGATCTTTGAAAATGGTGACACCTGACAACAAAAAAAAATCCAGGGTGATCTTAAAGAGAACCAGATTAACACTATCAGGTGACAGAGACCACCTGCTTACCAAAAAGAAGAGTGATTCACCTGTCAATAATAAGTCTGCGAGATGTGACTTGACATAGCTCTTCAGAAAGGAAAGGAAAGGAGGGAGATATATTTGTTCATCTCATCTTGGTCAAGATTGGTCATGACAGTCACACAGCATTAAGCTTCCTTCTAGCATTCTTTTCCCTTACAGTAATGTACTTATTGTCTACGTTTGTTTCCTCATCCTGCTTGTTTCACACTACAACAGTTCAAAGAAATCTTCCTGAGTTTGTCTGAATTCCTTATATTCATTTTTCTTATGGATATTCCTATATCCCATAACAATTATGTATCAGGACTAGTTCTGCTATTGCAGAGTTAGGACTTTGGAAGGGAAATGAAGACATGGAGAGTGAGCCCTTGGATATCTAGATGATGTCACAGAATTGGATTTGATTCTTTGGACCGTGTGTTAAGGCACCAAAAACATCTGATGTGGTATATAACGTTCTGCGTGCATGTTCCTCACGACTCAAAAGCACCTGAAAGAATTGGTGTCTTCAAACCGATCTTGGCTTTATTTTTTTATTTTTTTAGACAATTGGGGTTAAGTGACTTGCCCGGGGTTACACAGATAGTAAGCGTCAAGTGTTTGGTCTGAGGCCGGATTTGAACTCAGGTCCTCCTGATTTCAGGGCCAGTGCTCTATCCACTGCCACCTTGCTGCCTCTGATTTTGGCTTTAAAGATACAAACAAGAGCCCCTGAAACTGAAAATTCCAGGGGAGGGGAAAAAAAGATATCGGTACCTCCTCCCTGATAAGAAATGAGAATAGGATTTGAGTGGGAGTTTTGTACTTGTGTGAAAATTCATGAACCCCAGGGGATGAGGGTGGGTGAAGTAGAACATTTTAGAGGATGATAGAAACGTCACTGGTTTAGAACTGATAGGAACTTAGGGGGTACCTAGTCTAACTTCATTTTACAGAGGAGGAAACTGAGGCCCAGACAGATCAATTGACTTGTATAAGGTTAGATAGATAGGAAGAAGCAGAGTTAGAATGGGAACTCAAATCTGGTGTCTTCAGATTCAGCACTTGGCACAGATACAGATTGGTATGTTAGATGGAACAGTCTTGGAGTCGGGGAGACTCAGGTTTAAGTGATCACATATCAGTGTGCCTATGGGCAAGCCAATTAACTTCTCAGTCCCTCCCCTTCCCCCAATAATACTAGACTATCAGGTACAGGTGAGTTGCTAATCTCTGTCAGTGGAGGGATTTTCCACACCATTCCATCAAGCTGTTGTCCTCTCTCTCACAGCCAAATTTCTATCTGTCTATATTTCTTGCTTCCACTCCTCCACAATCAGCACACACTTTTTTTTAATTAACAATTTGTAATCTGGCTTCTGACACAACCGTTTAAAATAAATTCCTCTCTCCAGGTGTACCTTTCTCCCTGAATAATTGAGTGACTCTGGGTGTGGAATATATGTTATATACTGTTAGACACAGTGGATGTGTCGCTTGGTTTTGCTGATTTATACTTGTTTCTTTTTTCTTTCTTGTTTTTGTTTGGTTTTAAGAAACGACTTTCCTGGTGGCGGCAGGAGTCATATGAAAACAGAAGATATCATTAGAAGATTTCTTTTAATTAAAAGAAAGAAACTGCTCTCTTTCACACTGCCAAAGGTCCACAAGTTGGTAATTCAGATGGCCTCTTCTCTTGTTCTCATCCTATCTGATCTCTCTTGAAGAAATTGACATTATTAACCAATCAATTCTCTTGAATCCCTCTCTTTTCTGTATTGTCCTCCCTCCTGATTTTCTTCCTACCTGTTCAACTATGTCTTTTCAGTCTCCTTTTTGAGTCAAACCCACTTCTAACCTCTCTACATGGATATACCTCAGGCCTCTATCTGGAGCCTTCATCTCTCTATTTTCTTGGTGATCTCATTAGCTACATGGTTTCAGCTATCACCTCTAAGAAGCCCACAACCCTAATCTGTTGGATAGGTTCCAGTCCCAGATGCTTGTTGAATATCTTATATATCTCATAAGCACCTGAAACTCAATATGTACAAAAGAGAATACTTTTACATGTATATACCTATTTTTGTCTAATGGTAGCCATCTCTAGGGCAGGGGTAGGGGGGAAGAAAAAAAGGGAAAAAAAAGAAAAAAATTACATGATAACTCTATTGTGTATTTAGAGGGAATTGCAAGTTGTCATAATGGATTTGCAGTTTCATATGCAATCATCTTTTTTATTATACTATGCTATAGAAATGCTTATTTTATTCCATAAATTAAATTAATTAATTAAATAAAAACAGGACTTATTCTCTTTCTCCCTCGATTTATCCCTCCTGTTCACTTTTCTGTTTCTGAACAGGAAAGCACCATCTGCATAGTTACTCCTTCAGTCAGTTAGCAAGCTTAAAGTAAGGAATTATTATATTCCAGTCACTGTGATCAGTGCTGAGGATAAAAAGAAAAGCAAAAAATTCCTAAGTCATTCTCAACTATGCATTCTCCTTTACTTATGTGCCCAAACCCAATCAGCTGTCAAATCCTGTCACATCTATCTCTACATCACTGTGACCAGTGTCTGAGGAATACCCATTTACAGCAATGGGGAGCATGAATTGGGACCGACTCCGTCTGGTCAGAGTAATACAGAGGATGATTCTAGTATGTCAAATAAGGACTCTGTCTAGTGCCCACCCCTGAATCTCCTGCTTCCATTCAGATTTTCAGGGCCCTTTCCTTCCTCCTCCCACTCCATTTTATGCCTCCATTCTCTCTCACGTCCTTCACTGTTTCTCCCATGATTGGCAAATAGCAGATATGTATCAACATTATAGATAGAGCTGGCTTTATCCAGTTTAAGAAAAATACGGATTACCCCTCAGTACCAGTTAGATACCAGCCCCAACCTCCAGCTTCCTGGTCCTCCTGGAAACAAGATCTTGTGTGTTTTCTCTACTGAATTTCACAAACATTGATTCACTAGGCACTGGTAACACCAAACCATGTTTGTTTAGGAAGCTTCAAGGACTCTCTTATGCCTCTGGGGAAAAAATTACAATCTCTTCTGTTTGGCATTTAAAGCACTTCCCACCTGTCTCCAAATTCCCTTTACAGAATGATTTCACATGACTTCACTCCATGGACTCCCCATTCCAGGCACACTGACTTTCTTGACGCTCCCCCTTCATGGGACTGCATTTCCTGCCTCTGTGCCTTTGCAAAGAGTCTTTTCCATACCTGGAATTCTCTCCCCTCTTCTCAGTTTGGCCTCCTGGAATCCCTACCTCCCCGAGCTTTAAAATCTCAGCTTGCAAGTGCCAGTTAATACAAGAGAAGTTTGACTAAGAAGCAAAGGAAAGGATTTATATGATTGCTTGAAGGAGGAGTGAACAAAGAAAAAACGATGTATGTACATGTGGGCAGGGGATGGAGTCAAAGATTATACCTAAATTGCAAACCTGGGTAACTGGAAAGATAGTGGTACCCACAACAATCATAGGCAAATGAGGAAGAGGGGAGGGTTTGTGGGGGAAATAATGAGTTCAGTTTTGTCCATGTTGAATATCAAGGTATCCAGTTTGAAATGTCTGAAAGAAAGTTGCAGATTTGAGTCTCAAAATCAACAGAGAGGTTAGAGCCGGACAAATAGATTTGAGAATTATCAGCATAGAGACTACTGTTGAATCCATGAAAAATGAAATGAAAGTTTAGCCACAAAAAAAAAAAAGCAGGAGAGAAATAGAACGATAGTTAGCAGGGACAAATGTATCAAGTAGGGATTTTTTTTTTTTGAGGATGAGGATGCATGGGCATGTTTGTAGGCAGTAGGGAAGCAGTCAGAGAAAGATAAAAGACAGGAGAGACAGTGAGAATGATAGACGAGGCAAAAACTGAAAAAAAAAGAACCCGAAAGAGAAAAATCCGTGAAAACTGATGAGATCACCGAGTGAAATAGTATATAGATGGAGAAGAAAAGAGGGACCAGGATGGAGCCCCATAATAGGGCACCCAGAGTTAGTGGATCTGACCTGGATGAAGATCCAATAAAAAAGACTAAGAAAAAGTGATCAGATAGATAGAAGGACAACTAGGAGTGATCAACAACATCAAAGACTGCAGAGAGACCAAGAAAGGTGAGGATTGAGAAAAGGCAATCTGGCGAGAGGTCATTGGAATGTAGCTTTCAGAGGAAGAAGCCGGCAATAGCCATGTGAAAATGCTCTAAATCACTAATAATTAGAGAAATGCAAATTAAGGCAGCTCTGAAGTACCATCTCAAAGACATCAGATTGGCTAAGATGACAAAAAAGGAAAATGACAAATACCGGAAGGTATGTTGGAAAAACAGATACTCTAATACACTTTTGGTGGAGCTGTGAACTAGTTCTGGAAAGCAATTTGGAACTCGATCTGAACAGCTATTAAACTGTTCATACCCTTTGACCCAGCAATATTGCTAGTAAGTCTATAACCCAAAGAGATCAAAGAAAGAAGAAAAGGACCTATATGTACAAAAATATTTATAGCAACTCTTTTTGTGGTGGCAAAGAATTGGGAACTGAGAGGTTGCCCATTAATTGAGGAACTTTAGCTGAACAAATTATGATATATGAATGTGATGAAATACTATTGCACTGTAAGAAATGATGAAGGGAATGGTTTCAGAAAAACATGGGAAGATGTTATGAGGTTATGCAAAGTGAAGTGAACAGGACCAAAAGAATTATACAATAACAGTAATGTTATAAAGATAATTAACTCTGAAAGACTTAGGAACTCTGACAAATACAATGACCACCCACAACTGCAAATGACTCATGATACAACATGTAACTCAACTCCAAATATAGAGCTGATGGACCCAGAGTAAAAATCTAAGCATCTTTCTTTCTTTTCGTGGTCAATTAAGGAATTTGTTTTACATGACTATATATTTGTAATGGGTTTTGCTTTTCTTGACTTCTTGATAGGTGGAAGGGGGAGAATTTGGAACCAAAAATAAAATAAAATTGAATTTAAAAAAGATCATTGGTAACTCTGGAGAGAGCAGTTTCAGTTGAATCATAAAGGTGGAAGCCAGATTGTAGAAAGTTAAAAAGAGAGTGACAGGAAGCATCTATTGTAGATGACCTTCTCAAAGAGTTTAGCCACAAAAGACAGAAGAGAAATAGAATGAGAGTTAGCAAGGATGAACATATCAAGTGAGGATTTTTGTTTTGAGGAAGAGGATACCTGGACATGTTTGTAGGCAGTAGGGAAGCAGTCAATGTACAGAGAAAGATAAAAGACAAATGAGAGAGTGAGAATGGTAGATAAGGCAATCTACTGGAGAAGACAGGATAGAATGGGATCCATTGTGTATGGGTTTGGCAAAAAGGGCCACCTCATCATATGAGATGGGGATAAAAGAGAAAGACAGTAGCTGAAGGCCTCTGGGTGATAGGAGATAAAGCAGAAGAGAGGAGAGGGAGCTCTTGGCAAATGGTCTCAATTTTTTCAGTAAAATATGGGCAAGGTTCTCAGCTGAGAGATTGGTGGAAGAGGAGCCATGGGAGGTTTGAGGAAGGATGAAAAGATTGGAAAGGGCCAATATGGTGAGTCAGTGGAACAGTTAGTTAATTAGAAAGGTGTAAAAGGATTGTTTGTCTAGCAGCAGTGATGTCCAGTTGGGGTTACATAACACAAATTTGTAGTGGTCCCAGTTAGCATGGTTACATGATTTTATCCATCTGTGTTCATTATTTCAAAGGAAATAATGAAAAAACAAGTAGGCATGAAGGGGGCCTAGAAGCATCAGATACTAAATAATACAACAACACTATAATCATCAAAACTATTTGGCATTGGTTAAAATATAGGAAAGTTAGTTAGTAGACAGACAACGAAAGTAATCTAGTGTTTGATAAATCCAGGGACACCACCTACTGGATTAAGAACTCTCCATTTGACGAAAACTGTGAATCAGTCTGGGAGAAATTAGATGTCCAAAATATGCCACACATGCCTTAAAAGACATGGCACCTAAATATTAAATGTCACAATAAAAAAAGTAAAGGACCAGAAAAGGAGATATGTTTTACTACTATGGCCAGAGGGAGATTTAATTCATTAAGGGACAAAGATGATCCCAGAAGACTGAACTGAAAATTTTGAATATATAAAAATCAATAAGCTTTTGCATGAATAAAATCAATGTAGCTAGAATTAGAAGAGAAACCATTAATTGGGAACAAATCTTACAAATCTTTGCAGCAATAATCTCTGGAAAAGATTTGACAACCAAGATATACCAAAACTTATTACCAACATATAAAGGGGAAAGCCATTCCCCAATGGATAAGGAGTCAAATGATATGAGCGTAGAAGTTCTCAGAAGAAGAATGCAGGCAATCCACAACCATTTGAAAAAAATTCTTCAAATTCACTAATAATAAGATGGTCATAAAATGTTTACAACTCTGAGGTTTTACCACCCACCTTTCATTTTGGTCTTCTTTGAGACAGAAGGACAGCAAACAAACAACCAATCAAGTTGGCCAACATGACAAACTGAAAATGGCAAATATTGGAGAGCTGAGGTACACTCATGCATGGTTGGTGGAGCTGTCAGATAGGTCCAAATACTCTGGAAGACAGTTAAGAGCAAGAGCCAAAAAGTCAGTAAAGTGTAC